GTGGGGAGAAGCAGATGGTGAGAATGAGGGGAGATGTGAGCACAATGAGAGGGGGAGCAGATGGCAATGAGAGGGGGAGCAGAGGCCAACGAGAGGGAGAGGAGGACAGGGGGAAAGGGAGAGGAGGATAGGGGGAAATGGAGAGGAGGACAGGGGGAAAGGGGAGAGAGGACAGGGGGAAAGGGAGAGGGGACAGGGGAAAGGGAGAGCAGGACAGGGGGAAAGGGAGAGGAGGACAGGGGAAAGGGAGAGGAGGACAGGGGAAAGGGAGAGGAGGACAGGGGAAAGGGAGAGGAGGATAGGGGAAAGGAGAAGAGGACAGGGGAAAGGGAGAGGAGGACAGGGGGAAAGGGAGAGGAGGACAGGGGAAAGGGAGAGGAGGACAGGGGGAAAGGGAGAGGAGGACAGGGGGAAAGGGAGAGGAGGACAGGGGGAAAGGGAGAGGAGGACAGGGGAAAGGAGAGGAGGACAGGGGAAAGGGAGGAGGACAGGGGGAAAGGGAGAGGAGGACAGGGGGAAAGGGAGAGGAGGACAGGGGGAAAGGGAGAGGAGGACAGGGGGAAAGGGAGAGGAGGACAGGGGGAAAGGGAGAGGAGGACAGGGGAAAGGGAGAGGAGGACAGGGGGAAAGGGAGAGGAGGACAGGGGGAAAGGGAGAGGAGGACAGGGGAAAGGGAGAGGAGGACAGGGGAAAGGGAGAGGAGGACAGGGGGAAAGGGAGAGGAGGACAGGGGGAAAGGAGAGAGGACAGGGGAAGGGAGAGGACAGGGGGAAAGGGAGAGGAGGACAGGGGGAAAGGGAGAGGAGGACAGGGGGAAAGGGAGAGGAGGACAGGGGGAAAGGGAGAGGAGGACAGGGGGAAAGGGAGAGGAGGACAGGGGGAAAGGGAGAGGGGGACAGGGGGAAAGGGAGAGGAGGACAGGGGAAAGGGAGAGGAGGACAGGGGGAAAGGGAGAGGAGGACAGGGGAAAGGAGAGGAGGACAGGGGGAAAGGGAGAGGAGGACAGGGGGAAAGGGAGAGGAGGACAGGGGGAAAGGGAGAGGAGGACAGGGGGAAAGGGAGAGGAGGACAGGGGAAAGGGAGAGGAGGACAGGGGGAAAGGGAGAGGAGGACAGGGGGAAAGGGAGAGGAGGATAGGGGGAAAGGGAGAGGGGGAACTGAGGGGCATGAGAGGGGGAACTGAGGGGCATGAGAGGGGGAACTGAGGGGCATGAGAGGGGGAACTGAGGGGCATGAGAGGGGGAACTGAGGGGCACGAGAGGGGGAACTGAGGGGCATGAGAGGGGGAACTGAGGGGCATGAGAGGGGGAACTGAGGGGCATGAGAGGGGGAACAGAGGGAAAGACAGAGAGGAGGAGGGGGAAACGCGTGTGGGCAGCGTGGGAAATGGGGAGGAAGAGAGGGGGAAACATAGACGAGGAGAGCGTGATACGGAGGGGCGGGGAGGGAGGGAGCAGAGAGGAGGAGAGTGGGATACGGGGAGGTGGGGAGGGGGTACCTGACCGCAGGAGCAGGGGAAACGGAGAAGGTTAGAGCGGGGTAAGGAGAGATCGCTCTTTATTCCCTCAATGTCCGGCGCATATCCCTTGCTGCCCCCGCGCCTGGTCCTTGCATTCAATCGCACCGTACCCCTTGCCTTCCCCGTACATATCCCCCACTCCCTCCCGCATGACCCTTGTATTCCTCAATGCTCTCATGTCCCAAGAACCCAAACGCTCAGTATCTTTATTCTCATCGAGGTGTGGCTTTGTGGAGGCACTTCGTTGTGCGACATCGCACGCGTTGGTGGGCTGTTAGGTGGCCAATCCACACCCGTCGTTTTTGTGTTTCCAACCAGTCGCCCAATTATGGGGTAACCCTGTTGGCGTGGGTTGGGTTGGCGACGGATAAAAAATCAGTCTTTGTGTTATGAATGAACAAGCAGAGTAGCGCGGAAATGAATAACGAAGTGTTCACTCACTCAATGACGATACAAGAAAATGGCAAGCCAAGATATAGGAACACCAGAGCTAGTCTAACCATGCGATGGGAAGGTTCGGGAAAGAGATCGAAGGGTCGCAAAGTGACGAAGCGAGGCCTGGAGAACTCCCGAAGGTCGAACTAGAAGGTCTGGAGAAACCGAGGCGGTTCTGTCAGAAAGGTCTGGAACAGTCATGAGGCTTCGGGTGTGTTAGAGCGTACGCGCTAGCAGTACCGCTCGGTAAGGAATGGAAAATTCCTTACACCACCCCCCCCCTTAGCGAAGGTGATCTATATCAGCCACGTGCTTGCGGTCCAAATAATTCGCAAGTATCGAAGGTGACTGTATCTGGTCCGAGGGCACCCACGTGTCGCCCTCACTGGTACGATTGGTCCATCGTATCAGAAAGTCAACGTGCCGTCCGTGACCGTCGATACGAATCCGATGGCTCAAGACCTTCGAAGGCTCGATGGTCGTCTCGGCTGGTGGCCGTACGTCTGGGACCAATCAGTGTCGGGCGATGTCCGACGTGTTAGGAACGAAGGGTCGCAACAGGCTCACGTGAAACTTGTTGTGAATACGCCAGTCATCAGGTAGGCGCAGTTGGGCGGTCACCGGCGTCACCATCTTCACGATCTTGACTGGGCCACAGAAACGTGGTCGTAATTTCGTCGGTACTGGCAGTCGCAAATTCTTGGTGTCCAACAGGACTAGTTGCCCTGCTGTCATCGTAATATCCCGACGATGTAAATCCGTATACCGTCGGGCAGTTGCATTCGCCTTGTGAATAAGTTCGACAGCTTTGTCTCAGGCAGTCTGTAATTCTTCGACGAACTGCTGCGATCGTGGCACTTGGTGGAGACTGGTACTGTAGGGTCCATCCCGTAATTGAGATAAAACTGAGATTGATTAGTCGTAGCCGAGGGCGCGTTGTTGTAGGAAAATTCCAACATGAGCAGCACGTCCTCCCATTTTTTCCGGTCGGGGCAGTTTGTCCGAATCAGCTGCTCCATCGTTTGATTTGTCCTTTCCGTCTGGCCGTCCGTTTGGGGATGATATGCGGATGAGAACTGTAGACGCGTGCCGTACCGAGCCCACGTGTCCTGCCAGAATTTTGACGTCAACTTCGGATCTCGATCGCTAATGATTGTTGCTAGTATCCCGTGTAGGCGAACGACGGTCGAGATGAACAGGCGCGCTGTTTCTTCGGCTGTGATCGTTGTACGACATGGTACGAAATGCGCCATTTTCGTCAATCGGTCGACGACAACCAATACCGCGTCGTTTCCGCTGGGTCCGGCCGGTAGTCCTGTAACGAAATCCATCGTTACGTGTTGCCATGGGCGTTGAGGTGGCTCGAGGGGCTGCAACAGTCCTGTTGGTCGCTGTTGTGATGACTTCATTCGCTGGCAGATCGGACACGCGGCCACGTAACGCTGCACGTCTGTCACCATATCTAGCCAGTAATAAAACCGCTGCAACGCCTTCAGAGTTTTATCAACCCCGAAATGTCCCGATAAATTCGAATCGTGGACTTCTTGAATTAGTAATTCGCGAAGTAGACGATAACTTGGGACCCAAATTCGATCAGTCCGCTTCGTAAGTAATAGACGCCTTTCCGTGTAGTGATTGGGAGATGGCCGTCATTTACGAAGAAGGGGTCATTCGAATACCCGTGGGTAAATAGTCCACTCAGTAGCGGATTGCTCTGGGCGACTAGTATTGCTGCGAGTTGGGCAGATGGTATGGAAAGGGCGTCGGCAATATTGTTGGCACCTTTTTTGTACGTGAAATTGGACTCCAGATAGTCCAGCCAGCGTATCTGCCGTGGGTTGAGATTCGGCTGCGCTCTTAGGTACTGTAGAGATTTGTGATCGGTTCGCACCATCACGTCTACTCCAGTCAGGTAGCACCTCCAGATTTTGAACGCGCGGACAATCGCCAGCATCTCCTTGTCATGTACCGGGTAGTTGCGCTCAGCATATTGCATTTTCCGAGACTCGTACGCAATTGGTTGAAGCCCGTTGCCGAAATCCTGCATGAGCACTGCTCCGATGGCGATGTCACTTGTGTCGGTGATGACTTCGAAGGGCCGTTCCGGGTCAGTGATGCGAAGTACCGGTGGCGCCATTAAAAGATTTTTTAATGCGTCGAACGCAGCTTGCTGCTTCTCCCCCCATTCGTAAAAATTCCCCTTCTGCAGTAGATCGGTTAGAGGTCCAGTTAGCCCCGCCAAGTTGGGTATAAACTGCCGCACGTAATTCACGAAACCCAGAAATGATTGCAGCTGCTGCAGATTTGTTGGTGGTTTCCATTCCTGAATAGCCCAGAGTTTTTTCGGGTATATCCGAATCCCCTCCGTGGAGATCACGTGCCCTAGGAACTCCAGTTCTTGTTTTAAAAACTCGCACTTGGAGCCCTTGGTGATGAGACGATACTGCTGCAACCGCTGAAAAACCGCTTCCAAATCCTTTAAATGTTGCTCCCAAGTCTTGCTGTAGATCAGGATGTCGTCCAGGTAAATTATTACGCATTTGTCGAGTAGATCACAGAACACCCCGTTCATGGTGAGTTGGAACGTCGAGGGGGCATTCGTTAATCCAAACGGCATCACCGTGTATTCGTAACTCCCGTAGCGAGTACGAAACGCGGTCTTGTGGCAGTCGTCAGCGAACACCCGAATTTGATGGTAACCGCCGCGAAGATCAATCTTCGAAAAATAGCGAGCTCCGTGGAGGTTGTCGATCAGTTCGTCCGTGCGTGGGATTGGGTAGCGCGACTTTATCATTACCCGATTAAAGGCACGATAGTCCGTACACATGCGAAGTCCGCCGTCCTTCTTTGGGGTGAACATGATCGGTGCTGCGAACGGTGACGTGCTCGGCCGAATGAACCCTTTCGCCAGCAGGTAGTCCAGCTGGTTTCGTAACTCCTGTAGCTCCGGCTGAGTCAAGTGCCATTGTGTGCGTACAGTAGGCTGCGTGCCGGGCTCCAGCTCGATTTTGTGATCCTGGGGTCGTTCGGGTGGCAGTCCACTTGGCAAGTCGTCTGGGAAAATCTCAGGATATTCCCGAATGATTCTTGGCAAGTCATCCGGGACCGAAGCGCAGAGTTTGTTGATGTCGGTCGCCTCGTTCTGCTCCGTCGATTCGGTTAGATGGACGGCGTATAGATCCGCTCCATTCTTGACCGCTCGCTTGAGGCACACCGCGTTGACTCGTGTCGATGTTGTTTCTGCTTCCGGCCACGTGGGTAATTTTCGCCAGCCTTTGTCGCACTTCACTGTACACTCGCCTGTTTTCCAATCGATCTGCGGGTTTAATCGTCGCAGCCAATCGCGTCCCAATAGCACGTCGTAGCCGTCGAGCGTTGTTGTCAGCATCGGCGCGCTGAAACCAAAATCTTCGCCACACTTCATTCGAACGACAGGTACTTTGTCGCGTATCGCCAGCGGGGTGCCGTCCACCAATCGCGCGTCGATTTTGGGCAGACACCTTTCCAGCGTCAGGTGTAGTTGCAACTCCGTCGATGAATACTTTTATTTTTCTTCCGTTGAGTCGTCCTTCCGCCAATACAGGGTGGTCCACTGGGTCATCCCCCTTATTCAGCCGGGAGCGGTTGATAGTATGTATCGGAACCACTACTCGGTGGGGATGGTGTTTTTCGGGCGATGAGGCAGGGTCAGTAGGGGGCCCGACCGCTACTGACGCTTGGCGTTTCTCGACCTGCCTTCGTCGTTCTTCTTTATCTGCTTCTTTCGGGGGCAATCGTGAGATTGGTGACCTGGCTGGTGGCAGTTGAAACATTGTCCCTTGCGAAAGTCTTCCATGTGCTCCTTCACCACTACGCCGTGAATCGTGGGCCGTGGATCATGGCCACAAAAACGATTTCCCTCCCGAGAACTCGCTCTCCCATACGTCCGATGTCCGTCGAAGTTGTCTGTGATCCGGACTGCTTCGTGAAACGTCGCCGGCAGTCGCAGTCGGACCTCGCATTTAATGTCCTATTTCAAACCCGAAATGAATCGAGCTTTCTTCTCGGAGTCATGCATGTCGGTGATTTGATCGCATAACGCCATGAAGACCGACGCGTAATCCTGGACCGAACTCCACTGGCGCCAGTTGTCCAGCTTCGTGCGTGCGTTGTCCGAGGCGGATATTGGCTCGAAACGTTCACGCAGAGCTGTACCCCACGCCTTCCACGTGCGAATCTTGGTCGATCCGAAAAACCCCTGTGTGTCGCCTGCCGA